AACTTTGCTGAATGTGGAGTATTTTTTATGGTAATTTATTATAAGTAATTCATCATATAGTATAGAAATGGATATGTAAACATTTATTGTTAGAAAATAAATAAAAAGTTCGGATATATGTTGAAGCATATGTAGAAACAAAATAACTGCTTCGAAAATAATTATTTAATTACATATATTAAATAAGGTTTTATTATACATTTTTAAGATTTTTTACATATATATTATATTTGCGTTAATATGTAATTTTACTACCTTTTTATTTGTATACATTCTGGTCAATAAAAAAAATTCCCTTACTGATTATTAGTTAGAATTAGTCTCAAGGACATAGGAATAAAGGTCAATTTAGAAACTTTTCAAACAAAGAATACTTACTTTAATATTGCGGGTTAGGTCTGAGTTAAACACAGTTCAGTATACATAAGATTTCTAACTATTTAGCTTCATATGTTTTTAAGAAAATAAAAGTAAATATTAATTAAGTTGTTTTTTTTTTAGTTTTATTAAATTACAATAATGTATTAATATTTTAGAATTACATAGTATCAGATAAACATTTACAGTATAAAGTGAGCAGCTTTTAGTACGCTTTACATTTTTATAGTAATGTGGCGACACCAGAAACAACCTCGCAACATGCCGGTTCGAACAATACTAAAATTCACTGCAGAATCTGGTGCTGCAAAGATGCACAACTAAAGAAATACAACTAAAAGAAGTACCTTCCTCTACGTTTTGCAACTTGCCAATAACAGATGGAAAGTACTTAGGTCATGTGCGACTTTCAGGTTAACATGGCCCACCTACAATAAAAACAAATCCTCGGAACTCATCAAAATAGATGGCTTGAACACTGCAAAGCTTACTGCAGTTCTTACTGATCATTGGTGTGTAGTAACTCATACAGAGAAATTGCACATTCCCATAACCTTCGCTACAGAAGTTGTGGAAACCCGCAGCAGAAAGAAACAATAATACATTTTCTCTCTGAATGCCCGGCTTTAGCGTCCAGAAGATATAGGTTCTTAGAAAAATACTTCGTTGATAGTTTATCAGACTGCTTAACGGTGAAGATGAAAGACCTATTAAACTAACCAAATTCGGCGGGATGGATTTAGTCTTGTAACGACACTTTTGGTGACGTTCAAAAATTTTTAGTTTTTGCTGGGGTATCCTCAGCCGTCGTCCAGAGTCGTGACAATATATTTATAATTTTGCCGAGACGTTGGTTTTAGAAGAAAACAGAACGTGATTTATATGTATATAACTTTATTATTTCATAAACTTATGATTAACAAAGTTTAATTAAAATTCATTGGAAACATTTCTAATAATAAAAAAATTATGTTGATGCCAAAATTTCCCACTTCTCCATATATTCCTTGTTAAAAGAATCTTAGCAAAACCCGTGTGACTTCTTAAGCCCCTCTTCTGTTGTTAAAAAAATAAACAAAACGTTTCCTCCGTGCTGTAAAAAACTATTTGACCGAATAAGCCAGGTTAAAAAATATACATATAAGACAGGAAAGGAATTTTACACTACGTTTGATTCAAAGAACCAGATTTGTGGCACAATGTGCCAGATGACCAATAGGCCAGTGTACTTGTTTCAGGAAAAGTAAAATTTCAAGTTTGGTAAAATTTACCAGAAGGCCCAATGAGCCAGAGTACTTGCTCTTTCACTTGTCGCAAACCAAGTCCCTGATTATATAAAATGTACCTCCTTTTATATCGAGCATACCGGAGCTTTTTGGTGTAGCGTACCGGTATTCTTTGCTGTACTTGACTTCGCCGTGAAGTTGAACTTTGTGTTCTACTGTTTTCTCACTTCTTCTGCTTCGCCGTGATTTTTTTAGTACTTTTACTACGCGCCGTGTTTCTTTATTTCGTGTGTTATTCCTTTTTAGTTTATATTATATTAAATATTATTACATTAAAAGTAAAGTGTTTTAATACTACAAAACAAGGTATTAAATATACATATATATTCTGTGAATTTAATATTATCTAAATGTGAACAGAAAAGAAATATTAAAAGAAATAAAATTGATGTTGGCGTGCTTAGTTTTGTTTTGTTGTGTTTTGTTTATAAAAATAAAATTGTACAAACATGAGTGTTAAATTGTTTTGTGTATTATTTTATTTATATATATTTCAAATAGATCTTTGTTCAATAATTAAACGTGTTTTCTGTGATAAGTGTTACATTGTTTTGTGTTTTGTTTTATTTCTATATAATTGTAGAAAATAGACATTTGTTTAAAATTTACACATGTTTCGCCGATAATTGTTCATTGTTGTTGCGTTTATAAGTGTTCCATTCATAAAAGTTTTAACCAAACGTTGATTTTGTTTTTCGTATATTTTTAGAATTTGCACATTTCATGTAGCGATGCCCGCGGCACATTGGCATCGAGGATCCCAGGTAATGTCCATGATATTTCAAATAAATATTTTAATTCAATTTTATATTTTCCAGTTAAGTCGCCTTCAGTGATTTTCATGTGAGTTGTTAGATATATTATGTGTAGTGGTGGCGGTTATTTAACACACAGACTGTGTTTTTCTCTGCTTCTTGTTTTATGTAGCACAGAAATTTACTTTGTAAATTTGTGTCGTTACAGTCTTTACTCTTCTCTATTAGGGGTTCTTGCAAGGAATGTGGTAGCAAAACGGCGAAAAATCGCTAAGTGAGGTACATGCAAGTTATCTAATAGCCTGCCACTGCAACGAACTAGCCAACCAAAGCTCTTTTGGCCACAAATACAAAGTCCAATGCAGTTATAAAGTCCAATGCAGAGAGTGCGCATCCTTGTTTGACTTCTGATACGGTCAGAAAAGATTCGCTTAATTGACCTACATGTAGTACTCGGCAACATGATCCGTCGTACATATATTAAATAATGTTAGTTATTTTATCAGGAATACCTCTAGCGGAAAACCAAATAACGTCGCGCTTTAATGCATTAAATGCTTTTGCGAAATTGTTAAGCGCCAGGTAAAGAGGGGAAGTTATGCTCAGCTGATTGGTCTATTAGGATTCTTACGATATTGATATTGATACATTGATATTATCGTCGCACTATTCGTCGTACATATTTTGAATAATGTTAGTTATTTTGTATGGAATACCTTGTTGTGTCAGCCTGATGTTGCTATCGTAGTATTAGCTGTCCTGATTGGCATGGTGGCAAGCACGGTATGCTCGCCGGTTTTGAGGTGAGGTTCTTGGTTACTAAATACAACTGCTGACAATCAACAAAAAAAAAATCATGACATGACTTATTGCTACCTAAACTTAACATTCAGGTATTAACTCTTAACTCTTAATTTACTTCTTCTCAAAAAAATAAATATATGTATAACAAGAAAAAAAAAATTAACCTGTACTTCAGTTTTTGACTTCTACTTCTTAATTTATTCTCACTAATAGGTAACCTAAGTTCTACATTAAATATACAATCCAAATTCCTCTTTTCCTTTCCTTTCCTATTCAAACACATTTTTTATAATCCAATTACTTTTACATACAGCCTATTAGATTAGACGGACAACTAAACGCAAACAAATTAAAAAAAAAATGTTGTGTCCTTCATTTATTCTGCTTCTTATTGAACTTGAAAAAGTACTCATCATACTGAATAGGCTTTAAATTCATTCTGTTTGAAATGATGACTGCGGCTCATCACGTTTTCCCGGATTCTAAATCAAGGTTTCGCATCATCAATATCATGGCTTCTTCATCCTTGCGACATTGCTCATCAGACGGTAGTTACCCAATACTGGAATACTTTCTTTTCGCAACCATCCTCTTTGTAATGCCTGTATAAATATATATATATATATTTGAATTCGTTTTCCCTATGTCTGTATCGCTTTCGGTAGCCCTACCAGACCAGCTACCACTATGAGCCAGGTGTGATAAATAGCTCACATGGATAAATATATGTATCAATCAAAAGAGGAATGTTATTTATAAACCATTCATTTAACTATAAATTTTATTAAATTTATAAACATATATATATATATATTCAGAATAAATTAATAAAAAAATTATAACTTTCAATTATGTATATTGTATTGTAAAGTTATAATCATACATATACGTATCATAAATAAAAATTAATATAACTATATTTACAAAATTATATATATATGAAATAAAACAATTGTTCCAATCGACTTAATTTTTTTTCTGTTTAAAAAAAGTTACTATAATAAAACTAAAATTATTAAATTTTTCCTTCGATCTCTTTTTCTTCTATTTTTCCTTTTAATTTTTTTTTTAAAGCACAAAGAACTTTAAATTCGTTTATAAAAAAAATTCCAAAAGGAATTAAAGTTAAACAAAAAAATTTATTAATAAAAAAAAAATTAAAAATTAATGCATTAAACTATTAGTACAAAAAAAAATATATAAAAAAAATAAAAAAAAAAATTTAATTTCAAATTCAAAAATTAATATTAAATGCCAATTTTCACACTTTCTTTATTGACTTTTTTTTGGTATTTTTACAATAATTGCTTCTTTTCAGTCGTCCGGTATTTCTTCACAGCTTCATATTTTTTTGGAATAGCGGGAACAGTATGGTAGCCATAGCCTCAGCGTCAACTTCAGAAATTTCAGCAGAGGTACCATCGTTACCACTAGACTTACCGTCATTCATCGTTTTGAATGCAGCAGTTATCTCTAGTAAATCAGGTAGGTCAGGTAGGTAGGTAGGTCTGATAAATCTGTTTGTTTGGTGTCGAGTTTTTTAAACAATTTTTTAAGAAATAATTGTATTGCAATTAAGTTTCAAAAACGAATATCTGCTAATATCTGGAAGTACTTGGAATATATCAACTTCTTCGCAGATGTCGTAGTCATGATATAAGAAAAAAATATGATTACAAATGCAATTGTGTAATATTTTTTTATTGATTTTAAAATGTTAAAAATTTGATTTTTAATTATGAAAAAAATGTAAATCAAAAAATATAATAAATTAAGTTTAATCCAAATCTTGTTGGGCATTTTTTTCCGTTTTTATTGCCGTTGTAGCAAAATATGTATGATTTTCGACAAGATCAGAAAAAGGACTGTCATAAGTATCATCATCTTCTATTTCAATATGTTCAATTTCCTTTTTTACAGGGCACAACCTATTCGTTGAAGATACAATTGTAATTTCAATTTTATTACTTTAAAAACTATACAAAAATAGTACTTTTTTTAACTTACATTTGTTCAGAACTTATTTTTATTTCGTTTTTTTGTACTAATGAGTAATGGTCTCCAAAAAATTCCTTCAGTTGTTCTTCCGAAAACTGGCACTTTGCGGCGTCATTACCTTGAAATTCACTTTCGCACAAATTATGTCGCTCACAATCTACTATAGGTTTGTTACCATATGAGTTTACTATGATATCAAGTGTTTGTCCATCTCGTGTAAAATTCTTATTACGGAATTTAATATTCTGACCAAATCGACTTTTAATGATCATACCATCAAAACCATACCTTATAAGAGAATCACTAAAACTACTTGTAGTTTGATTAGGAAAAATAGTGTCATATGAATATAAGTAGTTCTCCAAAAGAATCATGTTAATAATTATGGCATCCTCATTTTCGACCCATTCGACAAATAAAACATCTTCCTTATTAGCTAAATACCATAATTTATGTACAAAAGACATCTGAATTATATTTTCCATCTTTCCAAACTTGTATCTATTATCTGAAAAACAAGATAATTCTTTATTGACACAGGAATTTTTCATTAATGTTAAAAAAATTGATTATTAAATCTTTGTACATACATACATATGTAGAAAGTATATATGTGTATGTGACTTATTGGAAAGTCTATATATAGACAAGTAAACTATCACAGTCGATTTCATATGAAATAAATACATTTTTTGTTATAAGATTCTTGATTCCTGCTTCTTCTTGAGTTAGTGCTATTACGCACTTTTACTGTATAATGGCTGGGGGGCTTATCTCTACCCCACACTAGGCTAAAAAAAAAAACATATCATTTATTTGTCTTTTAGTTGATGCCGGACCTTAAATCAGCATATCTTCCTGAGAGTCCAGAAGTGGACTTGAGGATTGTTATAAGAGATATATTTATAAAAGATGATCTATGAAACTTAAATGAAGTACATTTTTATTAAAAATGCCTGACATATTCCAGATTGTTCTCTACGCTATTTTTTTGGAGCCACATTTTATGTAAAAATAAACATAATCTTATATGCAAACAACTTTATATTAAAATTATAATATATTTTATTATTATTATACATTTTAATATTATAATATAAATATAGTAATATAATAACTCACCAAAAGCAAAATAACACTTTCACAAATATCAAAGTTAACAATGCTCGACCTGAAAAAACGACGCCGATGTTCTTCGTTATAATGTTCGAAAAATACTTCAAACAAAAAACTTTTTATTGTACGAAACTTTCGAACAAGACAACAGGGTGTGAACTATATAGTAATTTAATAAATGTATTTAGTTTTAAAATATTGCAGATAGGTATGAAAAAATATCTGAAAAACAACATAAAAGTATTAGACGAAGTGACCTATACGTGTCATATATTTCAGAATATCTTATTTAAAAAAAATTGTATACAGAAGGGTTCAGATACATATAATATATAATCAAATATTTTCTAAATTATGTGATGATGATTGACATAAAATATAATAAAGAAAAGCAAAACGGACTAATATAAAAGTTAAATAAAGCTATTTAGCCACTTGCTTTACTTAATAGTATATCACCCAAAAAAATTAAATATATAATGGATATAATATTTATATACATTTTATATATCAATCACATATTCAATTAACAATAACAAAGAATTTAGTAAATACTTACTTTCTCAGTGGGTTTGTTATAAGTCAGCTGTTGTTTATTTACTTTTTACATATAAAACATAAGGCACATATATTAAATTTTGTTAATTTCCCTTGTGGGAAATTTATTATTAAGATTTGCTTTCGAAGCCGATTTATTGATAATGTGCTCAGAAAATGTGCTGAAAAAAAATTTTAATTTTATATAAAGAGACAGTCTGATCGAACTAAAGATAGTCGTTGAAAGCATAAATTAATAAAAATTAAATATTACAAACTCATCAGTCAATCCAATTGGCGGTCAAA